TTCTTGGTAATCAAAATTTTTTGCATTTATAATAGTTACCTGAAATACTTTCTGTTTCAGCATGGGCTTTCATCTAGAGATCTCTCCACTTAACACTTTTATAATAATAAATACATAATTGGTGTAGTAGTTAGTGTCTTGTAAATTGTCCTGAGAAAACAAGAGCTGAATACCCACTAATGGGCTGCTGCAGGCAGTCCCATCTGGCAAGAATTTTAGCATTTCACACCATTTTTGCTACTGGCTAAAAGACAGCTTTTCATTCTTTACAGATCATAACTGGTGTGTTTGTTTGCATTTTGGGTATTTTTGTTGTTATTTTGCCAGAAGTAACTGGTAGTGCATGGTCCCGGTGTTCTCTGTGCCAGTTAGTCTTTCTTTAACAGCATTTTTGCTGGCATTGCTCAGAGCCAGCCTGTTTCTTCAGTTACAGTCTTGATATGGAAGTAGCATGTAGCTGCCTTGCCTCAGTGAGGGCTCTCTGAGTTATTCCTCAAAGCTCCCTCAGGCATGGGCAAAGGCACCTTTTAAGAAGTTGTGGCATAGGCCACCAGATGGAAAGGAGAAATATTCAAGAAAAGTGGGGTTTTTGCCATTTTAAGTGATAGGATTGTAGTGCAACAGTAATCTATCTAATCATGGAGAAGTCCTTGCTGTGCTGGCACTGGACAAGAAGGGGACAAAACAGTTTACAATCCCACACACAAAACAACTGTTGGGAATGGGAAGTCCAAGCTGCTGTCGAGCAGCACAGCAAAAACCAGCTTTCAGAAAGGAGCTGAAGAAAACTGATGATGTACTATTTCGGTTCCTGAAAGAATAAATAAAATGAACCAAAAAGAAAGAAAGAAAGAAAGAAAAAAGCCTGGGATTATTCTAAGCTTGCATCTCTGATGATATGTAGTGGGTCATTTGAGGTTAGGAACTCAGAATCTTTTATTGAGAAGGTGGTGATGATGGGACGCAGATGGAAAAATGGCAAAGGGAATAGACAGAATGCTGCTGGATGCAATCTCTCTGCTCCTCTCCAATCAACACAATTATTCTTGTATTTAGTATTCAGCATCTTTGCTTTTAAAGAGCAAAGTCTTGCCTCCTTCAAGCACTGAAACTCTACTAGAGATTTTTAGTTTCATGTCTTGGCTTGTAGCATGGACATGAGAAAATAATGCAAGATGTGGACCTTGGTATGTATGAAAGTGAGCTGTGGCCTGTGAGAATATTTGCAACCTCCTAGAGAATATATCTAGTAAGAAAAAGTAATTGAGACTTTATTTTTAACAAACACTTGGCTTCATACTGAGTTGCAGAACCCTGCTGTTTTCTGGCTGTTCCAGTGTCCTAACAGGCAAAGGGGAAATTGGTGGTGGGGACAGCATGGAGTAGAAGGCAGAGGGACCACAAGTGTAAGTCCCAGCTCTAAATTCTGGGTGACTGTAACCCTGGACAAGTCACTTGGCTTCACAGTTCCCTATCAGTAAAGAACAGGAGGTTAATGGTTGTTAAAACTTGTTTCTCTCATGAGAAATGCAAGGATTGGGAGAGTTGGGGTGTGTCCAGAGCATCCAACATGTGAGAGCGAGGTGCTCTTAGAGAGTCTTTTATCCTAACACAGGTCCTGCCTGTATCATCACAGCCAGAGACTGGATCTTTCCTGTCCCTGAACCTCCTTGCAGTGGCTATTACAGAACAGGTTTTCTTACGTTTTTACAGTGGGAAGAAAGGCTGTTGCTGTCAATCTTCCACAGGCAGGATAAAAACAACCCCAAAACTTCGTTCACCAATAAGTTGCTTTTCATCTCTAAATGTAATAGGAGAGAAGTTCTGATTACTGTTCTGGGATTTTTGGAAGTTGCTTGCTTGCTTAGAATAAATTGGAAAAGTAGTACTATAATGAAGTGAAAACCTGTCATATCTGGGAAAGATAAAAGGGAAGGGAGACTCATGAAAATGTTTCTTAGTGTTTTTCTCCCCTACAGGCTACGTGTTATTTACCTTCTCCTAGATCCTCCAAGAGCTGGCATTAGCATACTTCCAATCCTATAGCACTTTGCCAAAGTAAAGGATTTTAGATGCTCCTGTGAACACAGAAAATTTGGATTCTTTTCTGTGCCATGGATTCAGGAAAGATGTAGTGTCTGTATGCCTTATTTTGCAGCCTAGGGAATAATCTTTCTTCCCTTTGCTTTTTCTGTTTGGCTTTTCAGAGTGTTTATTCTCTTCTTCTGTGGAGTCACTTAGGCACACTCACACTCACACAGATGGGTAGACAGAGATATGCAGCACTTTGTGGGGTTTGTGTAGCTGTCCAGTGGTGCTTAGAACCAGTGCAACACTTGGAAATGTTTAAACCCCTCTTGTCGGCCTGTTTGGAAAGAACAAGTGTACCTACTACTGTGCCATGTCACGTGCCAGCAGAATGTTGGCTTGCACAGAGATGGGGGCAGATGCTGAATTATGCCTTTGTTTAACAGAAAATCTCCTAGCTGGGGGCTCTCCTAAAAAAAACCCCACAAGGTCCTAGAGGGAATAGGGCTGGCAGATAACAACCTGAGCTCACAAATGCTAGCTGCAGCTTAGGCACGTAGTGCTTGTGCAGTGATCCCCACAGCATTTCTTTCTTGCAGTCGACCACTGAGGAATGTGTTTGTCGTCCTTCTCACTCATGTCACGTTGGGGGCTTTGTCAGATCAGAATACATCATCTCTTGTGCTTCTCTGTGTCCCTTGACTTGTCATAGGCACAAATCTTTTTCAAATGCTCTCCCCTGTTCATTTCCATTATTATATCTAGTGCTTCTAGGTGGCAAGCAAAAAATGAATAACCTTGTAAATGTTCCCTGTCTTTCAATTTGTTTTATTTTTCATACGACGTGTCAGTGCATTTTTGTTGAGTGTTTTTAATAAGATGAAGTTGATGAAAATAAATTGCTTCACAGTTCCTGCTGTGGGTGACAGAAATGCTGGGTCTGTATTTTTCAAAAACTGTTTGTTTGAAGCCAGTGTAGAGCGTGTTTTGTATGTCTGTAACTGCAATCATCTTTGCAAGATACCTCCCAGAAAAAGAAAGCAGCTAGCAATTCGAATTTTGGGGGCAAGATGCACTGCTGTATCCAGCTTCACTGGGCACAGTGAGACAGCAAGCTGTCAAGAAGAATTTTAGGATTTATTCTGTGCCAGAATTGGGTCTGCCATATTGGATAGTTAGCCAGATCTGTCTCTAACATGAGAGGGAGAATGAATTCTACAGCAAACCTTCTTACCAGACTGTCTGCTAGCCAAGGCTTAGGAACCAAGGATTGGGACTTGTCAGTGTGGACACCCCAGTGCCCATGGCTGCTGAGTATCAGCTTTCTTCTGTGTTTGAATGACTTGCTCAAAAAAATGTCATGTCCGTGATCTCCAAATTACCAGGGTGTACCCAGCAGGCAGCTGGGCAACTACTCATGTGTTTGGAAAGAAGATAACCCACATATTCCAAATGGGATTTTCAAGTTAAGATTTTTCCCTTTTTTAATCAATTCTAATTTTTAAAAAATTGATATTGCTATGTTTCTTGTAACTGTTTTGATTTTGATCAAAAAATGCAAAAGTACAATTTTAATTTCCCCAAATTTATATTTTTTTATGTTCTTGTCCATTTTTTGTGTCCTTTTAGTACTTATTTAGCTGGCAAGACAATACCAATGTCTGTCTTTCTGGAAGGCAGGGAAGTGCCTTCTCCTTCTGGTAGCTAGGAACTGACACATGGAAGTTACACAGGGGATGATGATGGACCAGGGGCTCAGGTCTCACTTGTGCTACTTCAAGGCTAATGCCATTATCATTGAGCAAGCTGTACTTTCCTCACAACTGCTTTTAGTCTTTATTCTGTTCTAACTTTTTGGAAACATTGATATCAGAATTAGTTAAGACCCCAAATTTGTATTAATCTTCCCCACTTTTCATTTAAAATTCAGAAATATCCTTGGCAATTATGCTGCTTGAGGTACAAAAAAGACAGTATCCTGGATTAATTATTCTTCATTGTCCACTCAAATTTGAGGAGTTGGATTAATTCTGCTGTAAAGCAAGGGGTTGAGGGATCGTGCTGCACATAAAGTTCAGTATGGTCCACTGTGCTCTTGGGAGGCAGGGACTGAGAAGTACACTCAAACTTGTTTGTTTTTAAAGGATTCAGTTGATGGTGTTCTGCCACTTCCTTGGGAAAACTGTCACTCCCACTATTAGGCAACATTTCCGAAATTTACACTGTTTTCCTTCCCTTGGCTGCCTTTCATTACCCCTGCTTAAAACAAGATGCTGCATCCGTGGCAAGTCCTTTCCTTGCAGAAGGTTTCACTCTTTGCTCTATGGCTGCCAGGAGTTCTGTATGAGGTTGAGAGTCTCCTCTCCTGCTCCCAGGCCCCCTTTGTGCCACATGTATTCACTCAGTGCCACATTTTTCACCTGTGAGTTGCAAGGCCAGGCAGCTGTTCCAGCAAATCACTGCTGTTCAGCAGAAAAATCTAAACTTTTATAAAGGCTGCACACACATGTAGTTTTTGTTTGTTTGTTTGTTTGTTTTTTAAAAATATACATTGTTCACCTAAATTCATTCTGGTTTGTTGACATCTGTCTGGTTCTGTCTGACTGCAGTTTTGCCACAGCTGTTTTATGAAAAAATTGTCAGCTTGGTTAAAGGACCTGGTACAGAGTCCTAACTCCACTGTAGCTTTGAGACCTGCTGTGGAAGCTCATACCTGATTATTCTCTGCTTCCTGATTATGTCTTGCTATGCCATTAAACACTGAATCCTACAACGGCAGGTCTGAAGTTTGCAGAACCCCTGTTAAACATATTAAGCACTCTTGATTTCAAAATTCCAATTCTCTTCCACTGTTATTTCTGGAAGTGTTCCCCTTGACTGCATATAAAGAGAAGTGTTTGTGTATAACTGTGAGTGTGAGGGGGGTTGGTGTGATCACGTACTTACAAAATCCTGGGTTTGTGTTTTTCTAGGTATTTGGTGCTAGAACATGTGTCAGGTGGGGAGCTCTTTGACTATCTCGTAAAAAAGGGACGATTGACACCAAAAGAAGCCAGGAAGTTCTTCCGACAAATCATCTCTGCTTTAGACTTCTGCCATAGTCATTCAATATGGTGAGTACAGCCTTTCCAGCAGGACTTCCCTGCTGCAGAATAAAGGGATCTAACCTTGATACTTTTAAGTAACTGATGTTGTAAAGCTCTACAAGCACTGGGTAAAGTGCTGATGTATTTTTTAATTCTTGTCCATGTGTGAGACAGCGTACCAGTCACAGACAGATTTCTCATGGAAAAGACTGTCTGTCATTTCTCACTGTAGAGGAATTAATTCGCAGGGAATGCTTTAAACAGGAAAACCAAAACCACCAAGGAAAAAAGAGTTTCATTTCCATAATTTTGTGGCACTTACTAATAACGAAGAACTACACACTCTGTATGAAAACAAATCCCTGAAGAAACTTGGGCCAACTGCAAATACAGCAAAGTCATTTTATGGTTCCCTTCAGTTTTTGGAAACCTGCTGGCTTTTGGCAACCTTTACTGAGTCCCCTCTGGGCATTTGAGTCACTGTTGCCTTTAATTTCCTTTCCAGTAGGGAAGAATTTTCTTACTGACTCTATCATATTATTTAACCATGGAGAATGCAGTTTAACCTGTGCTTTCAGGTGCCGTTTTCTATTGGACCAGTTTCTCTTTCATCTTCAGCAAGTTGAGATAATTTAAATTATACTGAAATCAAGTTGTTGCAATCAGTCTGAACACAAAAGTTTCTGTACAGCTACTGACCCATAACTGTCTGCTCATTTCTCACTAATGCAGCTCCTTGTATTTGGATTGGGTGGGGGAGAACATTTACATCATGTCTGCGTGGCTGCTTCTCCAAAGCCACAGCCAGCCATAGATCCCCCACTCCAGGAGGCCAAGGGACACTCAGAGATACTGCAGTAGCTAGATTTGCATAATCATGTGTGGTTACTTCTCAGTAGCCATACAGGGATTTTCTGTACCTCCAGTTCTGTGCTGAAAACTCACAAACCAGATGGCCACAACAAAAATGGATGTTTAAATATTTAACTTGCTCTTCTAACCCCCTCCCCTTACATCTCCAAGTCAACTTAGCAGGAAATATTGATCAGTAAGACAGCATATTTATAATAAATGGAAAGGGAAAGAAGAGCCTTTCTTGAGGATATATTAAGAAGAGTATACTGTATAAGAAGAGTATAACAGCATACTCTTAGCAGAAGAGGCAGTTCAAAGGTAATGAATCTGGGTGAGAAGGTCCTGAGGATAATGCCTGCCTGACACAGGCAAGGTTACAATAGTCAGAGAAATTCCCAGAGAAGCCAAGAGCAGGTTGCATGCCCTAACTAGAGGATCTAAGTTTTCTCTGTTGGCAGTGACCTCTGACTAGTTTTGCTCTGTGAATTCCACAGTTTTTCCTCCCTGCTATTCAACTGCACTGCATGATCATGACCTCCTTAGAACCAGCATGATCCTTGGCAGGTTGCAGAGCTGTTATTTTTTCACATACACTGGGCAGTGTAACCACTGGTGGATTGCACACATACTTGTTTCTGTTCCCTACTTGGCTTAAAACTTAAGGGATCCAATCCAACAGCACTCAAAAATGTTTAAGTACAGCTGAAGAGAAATTATTTACGCTTCCAAATGAATATTCCAGAGAAATCAGAATCTCCATTGGGATAGAAGTTTCTACTAAAGCATGCATATATGCACATACATGCTAGTCCTTTGGACTTGTTATGGGTACCTCTGGATCTGGGAGACTTTAATAAACTGAGTGAGGATCATGGTGGAGGTTGTCAGACAGACAGACAAGACAGACAAGCACCTCTGCATGTTTAATACTGTGAAATTTTCTAGGCAGATGCATGTCTCTCTTGAGGAATGAGTTCTCCTCTGTTAAATGTACTGGATTGTGGGCAGTAGTCTCGTTTGAAAGTAAATCCCATCTCTTTGCTAACTCCCACTTGACGAGCATCTAGTGCTGGAGAAGTTAGCAGTAAATCATAAGCTCTGCCTTCAGGTCACTCTGAGACTCGTGTGGTGTTATATTCTGTGCTGTATTCTGGACAGTAATCAGAAAATCAGAGCATGCATAAATATATATATGAGTGTAAAACTTAATGTGCTTTCCTAAGCAATGAAGCCTGACCTTGTCCTGTCGTGGGGCAGTGAAATGACAAATCATCTCATCAGCTAGGTTATCCAGTTATGACCATATTGAAAAATGAAAGCTTCTGCTTTGGTTAATGACTAAATGCGGGTGCCTCCAGCCTACTGGCAGAATAGATTGATAGCCTAGTGTCCCCAGACCCTTATAATAGTCCCATCTTCTTCCTGTACATCCCAAAACACTGCAAAATACCCGTGGCTTACTCTGACTACAGCATGTAACCACATTCAGCACTCAGTGCTCAAAATGTGTAGATACACCAGCATTCCTGGACCAAAGATTCAGAAAGGATTCCCTAATCCCCCTCCCATTAGTAAAAAGCTTCTGCTGCTACTGTGTGGAGAGATTGCCTCTGTCTGAGAGGTGTTTTCAAACAAGCAGCTGAGATAAAGAAGCAGAATAGGTGTGGAGCTTGAGTCTGCGTGTTGTTTTAAAAACCTATGTGCTTCCTGTTCTTATTTTATTTACTGGAAACAATGGGGGAGTATTTGATGTACTTTCCTCTATGGTGCAGTCACTTACAGGGTTTTGTGGTGCAGGTTGGCCACGGGGGACCGCTTATGGAAAAGGCACTGTAGGGTCCTCTGAGGACTTTTGAGTGGACACAGCACGGGCACGAGTGGCAGCACGCAGGGGTATCACGTGGGATCGATCTGCCTTCCGTGAGCTGGCAAGGCCTCGGCTCAGCAATGCGGCATTACCACTTCTCCCGCCAGCCCTTCCCTGCGCTCCCAGAGCCTGGAGCGCCGAGCAGCCCGCAGGGAATGCACAGGGCCCTCAGCTTCCCCCCACATCTGTGTAAGCCATCCCAGCTCGGCAAGTTTTCTTTGGGCATAACCCGTAGGTTTTGCCTGAGCTGCCGTTCACCTCGTGCTGGGTGTTTGCTCTCCAAATTCAGGCCCTTTAGGGCGTCCCGGGGCAGAGCGCGTTGGCCGCCGCTGTCTGTGGGGAATGCTGCAGCGCGGGGCGGGGCGGGCTGCCGGCCTCCTCATTGGCTGGCCGTGACATCACCGGCGCGAGCCGCCATTGGCGCCGCGCGGCCCCTGCCCCGCCGCGCGCCCGCGGCCTGGCCCGGCTCCGCCGCGCGCTCTGCGGCTCGCCAGCTGACAAATAAAAATATGATTACACAAAATGCCCCGTGGCAAACCTTATTATGGCTTCAGAGATAACAGATAATGCCAATTACTGCGCAGGGCAGTGGTGACATTGAGAGGAAATCCCCCGCGGTAATGAGCAGGGAGATGATCATTTCATCTTATTTTTATTTTGGTTGCGTTTCATTTTGTGTTCTTTTCTTTCTTTTTTTTTTTTTTTCCCCGAGCGTGCACAAGAGGGGTTAAGGCAGGTTCTTTATGAATATTGATAAATGACAATTAGGAGGGCCGTTTCTCCTGTGGGCGCCCGGGGCTGTGCTTGTGAGGGAGGCGGAGAGTGCGTGTGTGCTGCGTGGGCACGGGCGTGTGGCACTCGGGGGGCTCGGCGGTGAATTCCGTGAATTCAGCGGTCAATAAAAGCTTTGTTTGACTTTGCCTCCTGTTCCTCCCTCAGCGCAGGGAGGGGAAGGCTCCCTGTCAAACAGCTCGTCAGGATTTCACAGCGCTACTGCCACAATCTCTGGTATCTTCCTGCAGGCAGTCGGTAAGGGAAGCAGGCTTTTAGGGAGAAATCTGGGGTGCCTTTGAGAAAGAGCTGAAGAATGCCAGGTGCCATGTTCTGCCATGTAGTGCCACCCTCGTAACTCCTGCTCTGCCCTGCTCCGTTTATAAGGAGCGCACCGGGGTGTTCTGCAGGGAGGCTCTGTCAGATGCTGAGCACTGCAGCAGATGGACACTTTGAAATCATGACTCAAGGCCTCCAGATGTGAAACTGGTCTAGAAATGATGGAATTTAGAAAGATTGATTGCAGTTTTGTTTGGGGTTTTTTTTCTGGTACTTGAGCGTTCAAGTTTTCTTTCAGACCGTCAGAAGTAAGAAAGGTGCATTTTTCCCCTGCTGAAAGCTGATACACACCATTCATTACCTGAATCTGGGAGTTTCAGTTGTGTGCTCAAGACTCACTGTAAAACGGTGAGGAATTTTCAGATATCCCTTTTACAGGGAACTGGAGAAAACCCATCAAATGCAGCAGCTGCAATAGCAAGGGCAAAGTTACCAGCTCAGCTAAAGTCAGGGAACATGTATTTTTGTAAGTTTCCTTCTTTATGTAAGCCACTGGAAACTCAGAAATGACTTAGTCTTACTGTAAGCATAGCCAGGTAACGTTTTCTGGGAAGTGCAGCAGTGGTGATCAGACCTGACAGGCTGTTCTGGCTTTGAAATACGTGAATATATGCTTTGAGGAGAGGTTGGCAGGGAGAAACAATATATTTTAATGGATCAATGGAAATAATTGTTTAAAAGCAAGCAACGTTTTGTGCATACAAACCCTTCCCCTGGACTCCTGATATGTTTGTAGATGTTGTCCTTTTTCCTAGCTATAATTGCATTTACTTGTTCTGTAGAATTCTGTGAAAATTTACTAAATTTGAGCATAGCAACCATGGCTATAAACCAAGAATCTTCTGTAGGTGGCTACAACTTAAATGTTTGGATCTGATTTGCAGAAGCAAGAGAAAAGATTAAAGGCTTTTTTTGCTCATGAAGTTTAAAATAATGGTTCTCATGCTATTAATTGTTACTGGTAAGTTATTTGCATCACATCAGGCACTTTAAGAGGCATACTGCAGAACAATTATTCTGTGGTCTGGCCCTTCTGGGAGTTTGGGGTCAGTAAGAAAAGCATTTGCAAAGTAGCCAACACAATTTGATTAGTACAAATGACCTGCAACTACTCCAATTAAGAGGTTTCTTGGGTTAGAAATCTGTGACCTACAATGAGTTGTCATAGAAACTGATACGAATGTTTCAGCTCAAACATCACTTTAAAATAATGGCTTCGTTTGTCATCGCATGCCAGGTGGCAGCTCCTTTGAATCCCAGATCTAGAGTCTGTCCCTACACCAGAATTCTTCTGGCAACCCTGGGTGACAGGCAGAGCGTGTTTCTTCTGCAATTGCTGCAGTACAGGTACAGGGATATTCTCAGAGCAGGAGGATGGACTGGGAAAGCACTGGAGGGAACTAAAGGAACTGTCTGAACAGCATCTCTGGCTCTGACTAGAAAGCAAGTGTGACCAGTATGTAAGTGGGAAGCTGGAACATGTTAATGCATATCTGTGCCTTTCATTTTCCATGCACCATCTCCAAGAATGGTGCCCATTTCCATGGAACAATTTTTTCAGAGCTCTCTCTGCATCCATCTTATGCTGCAAGGAAATTGTAAAGCCTTTGTTGTAACTTGTGAAAGAGGGATGTTGCAGAGTGTTTGACAGCATGTGCTTCCCCTGCCATGGCTTGCTCTGTGGCTGCCTTTCACTCACATGCTCTCCCTCCAGAAGCCTACTGGGTGCTGGCTCTGGAGGCTGAACTCTTGTGCTGTTGTCTTGGTTGAGGAGCCCTGGGAGTCCGTGGCCACTATGGATTGAGGTTACACTGACTGCTTCTGCAGTCCTGCATTTCTCTTCATGCCTTCTCAGTTTATGCAGGGCTGAATTGGAGGGTTTGCTGTGTTTGTCAGAAAAGAAGCTGCTTTCTTCTCTTCTGGTTTTTCCAGCCATGTGATAAAGCCCCTACAGCTTTAGAGCCTTTAGAACAAGGAAAGGGTAACGAGTCCTCTGTTCACCTGCAGAGAGAGGAGTTGATGCAGTCGTGTAAGACATGGAGAGCCAGAGAGATCAGCTGGAATGGAACCAAATTAAATGCATTTACTCTGCACTGTTCCATTAATGCCAAGTAATTACCACATACAGTGGGATTTTTCTTTTGTTTTGTTTTGTTTCATTTTGGCACAAGAGAATTCTTTTCAAATGTGAGTGCATTAGGCAGTCCTGTCTTTTGGGCTCTTAGGTAAATTATAACAAGCCTTCCCTATTCCCATATGTTCCTCTCCCTTCCCCCTGGCATTTGAAAAGCTGGCAATACAAAGATGGGAAATGCAAATGCAGAGAGGAAGTCTCTTTCCCAGTGGCAGTGATGCTGGTTCTACTGTTCTGCTGCAAACTCCTGGCTTGCCTCCTATTCCCAGGATGCTGCCTTGGCAAATTGAAAGTGGCCCAAAGATGGATATCAGAAAAATGCTCCAGCTAGAGGAAAATTTTCGGTGGGGCATCATTCTCCTGTGGTTGAATGTACAAGTACTGCCTGATCCCACTGGCACCCTGATCTCTGAAAGTGCTGCCAAAATGCAAAATCTGTGCTCAGGCTGCCATGAAATTCCTAGGGTAACCATCCATACTTGGGCACTAGAGACTGTCTTGAAAAAGGGATGGAGAAGGGTCAGAGAGACACAAAACTGCTGTATCAAAATTGTTCTTGTATTTTGGAGGCCAGGCAGCCGTAAATGTAACAATTCTCTCTGCTCAGTGAAGTGATAATTTCTATAGTGAAGAGCTAAGTTTTCTTAGGTTTATTTTGTGGAGTATTTGGAGGAAAAGGGAAAAAAACACATTAAGGTCTGTTGCTACTCCAGTTTTACTTTTGCATATAGTGTCCCAGTCCCACAGAATCCTCATATCCCAACTTAAGGCTTTCAAAGTGCTCACTGGGAGCTGGGTCAGCACCTCTGCCTAAAGACCTCCATCAGACTGGTCATTCATGGAAAAACACTGTGCAGCACAGTGAGGTGAAGCTTACTCCATGTTTGGAATGTGGATGGTGGTACTCACTTTTTCCTCTCTTTCTTGCCATGACTCTCATAAAAACCTATAATATACATGCCACCTTGTAGGAACCTCCTTTCCCCACTTGATTCTCCCTAAAACCCCAGGCCTAAAGCTGTGTTGTAGATCCCAGCTGATGGGAAGACAGGATGACACAGGGAGAAGAAGACTCCATGATTGAATATTGTCCCGATTTTCAAAGGTGTTGTCCCTTCCCTTTCACTGCCTCTTAGTGGTCTGGAAGTGGGACTATTTCAAGATTCTCATAGGTTGTGCCCCAGCTGGGGCCTGTGGCAGATCTGCCAAGGCTGGAAGCTTTCAGCCATGGAAAGGGAACATTTTTGCATTTCCTTTAGCTGCACCATGTTCCTGAAATATTTTGTTGTGAGTGTACATCCAGGCTTGTGGACATGCTGTGCTTAGGTCGTGCTCCACCTTGGTCATTCCTGCTCTCTAAATGAGCCACACAATTAGAGGATAAGCAAAGGATTCAGTTTTTAGGCACAAAAGTCACATGTGAGCAGTATGCCTGCTATAGACTGTATGTATGAATCCTACCATATCATGCAGTGCACAAGCAGTGGAACAGGCACAGGCAGCAGCACCCTCAGTTTCTGTACCATGTATCTGTTCAGCAGTCAGCCTGGAGCAGTTGCCAAGACTGAAAGACAACTGTAGCCACTGAAAAACTCTGCACAGCAGGACATACAGTCAGCTTGAGCTGTGGGGAAGTTTCTTGTTTCATAGCATCAAACAAGCAGCACTCAGTTTACAGGGGCTGTTAACCTGCCCCTGAGCACTGGTCCTCAGACAGGGGAACTGCAGCACACCGCCCCAGCTGGCTGAGGTATTCCCATTAATGAAAGCAGTTGTAAGATGAGAACTGTCCAGGATGTCTGCTGGAGGAAGGATGAAATCACACACTACTGTCTCATTAGCATCCAGCTTTCCTCACTTGCCTTACAACTGTGGGCTCTTCACTCCATTTCACTGCTGGAACTGGAGTATGTTAAACTTTGGCAGGGGTTGATGAGCTTTCCTTTGTCTGGAACTGCTGCCCTTGATGATGACATTCAGGGGTTCTTTTCCTGGCCATTAGCTAGTCATTAACTGCCTTTGGAACCTTTCCTTGTCACTCATGTCTTGCATTTTTTGTCAACTAGTTATGACTACCTTAATAGTTTTTATAGAGCTAATAAGTCTTCTGTCTCTGTTATCTCAAACCTTGGATTTCTATGAGAAATACAGACTGGATAAAGCACCTTTTGCATTTTCAGATGAAAATATGTACAAATCTGAATAGCGATTATTATCCACAAGCTTGTTTTCTCATTGTTAACAAGGCCATTTTAACATACAGGGTTCATCATACTTATGCAAGATTGGAGATTACATTTTAGAAAGCAAGAGAGAACAAATCATAGGTCTCAGTGAGGTGAATGACCAGTAACTGCTTTGAATGTGTGCTGTTTTGATGGGCGTCTCCTTTGGAAATAGTTACAGTCCCCAGGTATCCTATTACCATGTGCTCTGGTTTTACACAGAATTTGCCTGCATTATTTACAAGTTGTCTCTAACCGATCATTCCTCTTCTCTTCAAATCGGAAGATCTAATTTCCAAGACCTTGTCGTGCTGCTAATGTTGCTCTGAGAGGGAAGTGACTGACCACCTTTACATTTTTATTACACTTGCATGCATGAGGAGTGTTAGAGGAATGTTTTAAAAAGTGAAGAGGAAATGGCACAAGGATAAGCCTGGCTTCCATGATTGGTGTCACTTGACTATTCTGACACCTGGTTCTTTTGTTGAGTTCAGTTTCTGGTCGGAGTAACTGCTTTTAGCTGTAAGTTTTTGCCAGTGGGTGTTGTTTGCCTGACACTCAGTGTTGTTGGATGTCCATTTCTCGCAGGTTTGTGTTCTGCCTGTCCATGGAAGCTGGCAGTCCTGCCTGTTTGGGTGCTGCTATTTAGACCTTTTATTATCAGAGTAATTTTGCCTACTCATAAGCAAGATCAAGAAAAGAGCTTTTTCTTTGGTCTGCCTGAAGTGCTTCTCTCATCTCTGTGACTTTCCAAGAGCTGCAAATCAAAAGGCGGGGGGGGCGAAAAGCACATTCATCACAAATTTTGTGCAAGATTTTTGTCTTTGGATATAAAATCGAGTGAATGTTATAGTTGTACAGAATCTCCTGAGTACTTAGAAGCAGACGTGGGTGCACAATGGTTTTGGCTGTGAGCAGTGGAAATTAATAAATTTGTCAATATATGATTTGGAGCAGGAGTTGCCATCATGAAGGTCGTGGCTGCCTGGCTCTTGCCATGTTGACAAATAATAAGAGAACCAAGCTTTGATGGGAAGGAGGGAATCCTCTATCTCCTTCCCACTGCTGACACCCTCAGTTAAAAGCACTGCTGAGTTGAAGGGATTTCTCCATCGGAGCTAATTAACCAAAATTATTTCAAAGTCTTATGTCTGTGTAAACAACTCCTAATAGGAGTTTTTTGCAGTAGCATTTACATCAAGAAGGTTTTTTCTCTGGATATCACTCTGTTGTTGACAGAATATATTGATGGTGTTGCCTCCTACCTTAAGGAGCTGTCATATGATAGAGTATATCAATTCTAAATCCAGGCTGAAATTCTCCTCCTTCTATTTCCCTCAGTTTCTCCCTCATGTTGTGTTGGTATCACTGGAAGTTGAAGATGTTCCTTTCCTGCCAGGACACTGCATTCATCAGGAGTGGGTATCTGGGATATGGTCTAGAATACTAGGATTGCATCTTGGATATGTGTGTTCTCCTGCCTGGGACATGAAAACAAATTAAATTAATTAAAGTAAAACGGGTTGGATGCTATTCTGGATAAAGAACAAGTTTTGGAGTGGGAAAGCTGTTAGGGATATTTAATTTACATTTTGACCCTTTCTTTACAGCCACAGGGACTTAAAACCAGAAAACCTACTGCTGGATGAAAAGAACAACATCCGGATAGCAGATTTCGGGATGGCATCGCTGCAGGTCGGGGACAGCTTGTTAGAAACCAGTTGTGGGTGAGTGTCTCAAAGCACATTACAAAAATGAGGGACAGATTCAAGACATGGAAGTTGTCTATAGTCAGAGTTTCAGTAAAGATCTGCAGACGTACACACTGTACTGGTGTTTCCCAGCAAGATAATAAATTTATATGATGCAGGTAGTGTAGGAGAAGGCTAAAAGAAGGGAGGTGAAGTGCTTTACAGTCAGAAGCAGGCCACTGCAGGTGTCACATACAGATAGAAAAATCAAGGCTTTCAGGTTTGGATTCATCTGCATATGCTGGTGCGTTTGCATTCACCAGCCATGTAATTTTTGGGAACTGAAAGCAGTGGTTCACTGTTTTAAGAAGAGGCTTTGAAAAAATATGAAGGGGTGGAAAAATGTTCTTAAATGGAATTTGCATGTCCTGTGTAGGCTGTCTGCTTGCATGCAGCTGTTCGTGTTCATGCTCAACACTGCTTCTGTCAGCTCCCATGCAGGAGTGACAGGGAGGATGCAGGGTCCTTTGTAATGACAATCAATGCAGATACAAAGCAGCCTGCCTGGAGGAATATTGCAGGGCCAGTCTAAAGACATTTCCATGGGGATTCAGTCCTCTTCGGGCACCATTGGACCATGATCCCCAATTCCCAGTGCCATGGTGACTGTGCAGGGGCTGTGGCACTGAGCTGTAGCAAGGGCAGCAGCTGCACTGAGCTGCTGCAGTCTGGCACTGCTATGCCAGCTTTTAGCTGTGTGCTAATTTGTTTTAACAGCAAGCACAGAAAACAGTACTAGCAGATTTCCACTTTCTCCCATGCAGACTGACTTTTCTTGGCCAGTGGTAGTGTGATTCTGGTGACTTCAGCCCAGGCCCATCCTCAGCTGGTTACAGTTCATGTTTTTTTCAGTGTCTTCTCTGGGCCAAGGCAGTTCAGGGTAGACATGGAGCCATCGTGGTTCACTCTAAAGCCCAGCCACTGCCTCTCAGTCCTAGGCTCTGCTTTCCAAGTCACGAGTAATGGACAGCAAAAGTATTTGAAGTTCATGATATGATAGAATGCTGGTTGATGAGTAAACTGGGACCCACTGATTCTCTCCTATCCATGTCAAGTCAAGACCTGAGGTCTTAGCAGCACAGATGAAAAGCGAGGAGCTGTGATGCCAAGGTCAACTACAAGGCTCTGCACTTGGGTAGGGAGACATTCAGTGTCATCAATACAGGCTGAGGGATGAGAGGGTTCAGAGCAGTGCTGCTGAGAAAGGCTTGGGGATACTGTATGGTGGATGAAAGGCTGGATGTGACCCAGCAATGTGCACTTGTAGCCCAGAAAGCCAAACATGTCCTGGGCTGCGTCCAAAGCAGCATGGCCAGCAGGGAGAGGGAGGAGATGCTGCCCCTCAGCTCTGCTCTGGTGTGACCTACACTGCATCCAGCTTTGGAGGATTCATAGCATAAGAAGGATATGAGCCTGTCAGAGTGGCCCAGAGGAGGCCATGAAGGTGGTTGGAGGGCTGTGACATCTTCTCCATGAGGACAGACTGATAGAGTTGGGGTTATTCAGTCTGGAGAGAAAAGGCTCCAGGAGACCTTATTGCAAACTTCCAGTACTGAAATGGGGACTATAAAAAAGATGAGGACAGACTTTTTAGCAGGTCTTGTTGTGATACAACAAAGGATAATTGTTTTAAACTAAGAAAGGGTCAATGTGGATTAGATACAAGGAAGACGTTTTTTATGTTGAGGGTGGTAAAACGCTGAACAGGTTTCCCAGAGAGATGGTAGATTCCCCATCCCTGGAAACATTCAAGATCTGGTTGGATGGGGCTCTGAGAAACGATTTAGTTGAATATATCCCTGATCATTGCAGGGGCATTGGACTAGTTCAGTTTTAAAGATTGCTTCCAATCCAAACCATTCTGTGATTCTGCCCATCTGTTGCTTGCAGGCTCTTTCAAACTTCCCATCTAGATCAGGAAATGCAGTCCTTCCTGCAGTGCCACAAAGCCTCTATACTGTCTAGAGAAAATTGTTCCCCTTCCTTCCATGAGGGAAAAAAAAAAAGAGAGGAAGTATAAAAACCAGCCCAGTCTCAATTGCCTTGTAGGATTTTTCAAACTCCTCAAGAGCCTCTCAGTAGGATTCCTGCTCTTGTTAGCACTGAGCTGTGTTATCCAGATCTGGAGTCTCAAAGGGAGGCTTCCTTCCCAGAAGCTGTGCTGGAATGCAAACCTCCATGCTTGAAGCAGATCCAGCCCCCACATTGGGGCCTTAAAATGCACTAATAAAGAAATCAATGGAACGGAAGAGATGTGCCTGTAATAAACAGAACACAGCAGCAACGCTATGATCTCCTGCCTTGCAGATGCATTTTAAGTGTGTTGCCAATCACTAGGCCTCCATGTGAGCTATTACACCACTTCATTAATTCTCCTGGCATGCAGCCCAGCATGGCTGATACTGGTGTCTTGTGATCTCTCTGGTTTGGGGGGTGAAGGAAGGAAGGAAGGAAAGAATATGTAACAATATGCCACACTGTTCACAGAGAAAGGTAATCCAGTTATGACTCCCTTTCCCTTGCAGAACATGCAGTAGCCAACCTCAGAGCTTTTCAAGGCAACAGTTTTACCTACCCATGTAGTTGGCACTTTCAGCCATCATGAAAAGGAACAGAACAGAGTGAATCATGTCTGAGATATTGAGATTTAATGAGTTGCTCCTACGTGCACCCATAAGTTAATTTCCAGAATGGCTTTATCCATACTGTGAGCACTGATAATGAGATGAAACTGCAACATTTCCATTGACGGTCATGCAGGGAGTCTCCAGGTATTTCTGTCAGTCAGAGTGGGAGGCTCAGATGGGGTTGAGCTGTGTGGTACAGCTAACTTTGTCAGTTCAACAAAGCGGGGAGACTGCAGTCAAAAATTCTTTGCTATCACAAGTGAGCTGCTAAGTTTAGTCCAAAGTTTGGGTAGTCTTTAGGACACTGCAGAGCCTTGACTGGCCTCATGAAGGGTAGCCTCATGTAGCCTGATGTATGATGTAATTGCATATCTCAGAGTCACTGGTTTCTGGGAGATACTCCTTAGGCCTGCATGGTTTTCTGTAGCACTCATAGCACTGACAGACTACCTGGAGGACACAATAAAAGTTCAATCCAGATGTGTTTGTGTAGGAGGAGGCAAGGTTCACTTCCTGTTTCACTGACATAATTTGTCATTGACAGACTGCACGTTTGGCCTTATTGAAATGAATCCCCATTATAGAAATGTGTATTGTGTGAATCCTGCATATGCACAGTGCAGAGGAATAAGCTGTAGCTTTTTTGGTGTTTTTATACCTTTAAGGGGAAGAGGAGCTGTGTGTATAGGCTCTGCAGGACTAATTCTGCTTATGGCAGAAATTGCACAGCAAGGCAGTCTTATGGAGAGATGGCCCTTGAAATGCCAAAATAACACAGTGAGTCTCTTCATTCCTTCAGAAGCAGGGAGGGTCTGTCAGCTAACAGCAGACAAGGAAGGAAGAGAAAGCTGTGACAGGCTGCTGCTTCTATTATTTTAGATCTCTTCAGCTCTTCTTCCTCTTTGCCCATCCAGGCAGTGGCATGCAGAGGCACTCCCCATCTCTTTCACAGTGATTCTTCCTGGCTTGCTGCCTTGCAGTGTTTCAGAAAGGGAGAGGTTGTCCAATCCATCCTGAATTGTCACTAGGCGAGAAGAGTGAGTGCCTTTTGGTTAAACCTCAGGTCTGAGGCCCAGGTTATCTGAGCTTGATTTCTGTCTCTGCTGCAGGCATTCACGGTGGTCTAAGACAAGATGCATTGCCCTTCTCTGCTTCAGTTCTCCATCTTAGCAAGTCGTTGGTGTATCAGCAGACCTGTGCTGAGCAGCAGATTCGGAGGGCAGATACACCTCAGTGTCCAAGCACCCTTTCTGATTTTAATTAAATGACGTGATGCTGCACATATTCTTTCCCCTTATAATAAATGTGTATATATATCTAAAACGTATGCAAGTGTCCTACATCCAGTCATTGTTAGGGTTGCAAATTTAAATTCTTGAATTTGGAAATGCCAGAATTAGTACTTTTTACCCCATCTCATCAAGAGCTTCTATTTCCAGAACTCCATTCCTATCTCCCTCCTGATTTCTCCCATTAATTTCTGCTCCATATTTGGCCCCAAAGCCCAGATTGTTTTTTCTTTTTTACTAGGTTCCAGCTCTAGTTTCTATTACTTGGTTGTGTGAGTCAGTTGCTGTCAGTCCTAGATCTACTTCATTCGTTTTGCACTCAGTTTGTTTTAAAGTTTTGTACCGTGTGGTAGCCCCACTCACAGCAGCTCAGAGTTTCAGATTAAAAAAATTAACTCTCTGAAGTGTTACCAATGCAGGTAGGATTTTGATTCTAATGCCCTAGAGAGTTTCTGGTAGGAAATGCAAACTGCAGTTTTCTAGTGAAATGCAATATTTCTATGATAAAATTTCTAGAGAATACAAATAAATACTCAGGTTTGCGCTTTGCAGTATAGGATACTAGAAATTTTTCTCTTTTTTTTAATATGAAAAAGCATTTACTTAAAAGTAGACATATAGTACAAATGCTTCAGCCCACACATAGCATGCATGCATGCAAATATATGAAACCAGCCTGAGACAGACAAAAAGCAAGGAAAATCGTTGTTAAATTGATAGTAAGTTAGAAGGAGCCTAAAATGAGGCTTATAAAGGGAGATACCAGACAACCTTATTAATAACCATTGGTACCAGCATCACCTATAATACATCAGAAATTATGTTAAAAGAGCTTGGATTCTGCAAAATAAGTCCCTGAGAATTTAAGATGTGCTTTACTTCAGATTGGCAGTCTAACATTTGCTCAGCCTGTGCACATTAGGATATGCCCATTAAGTATGAGCTTGTACAGGTTTTTTTTCAACAAATCTTTGCCTCATTTGATGATTGGATGGTGTGTTTTTGTGAGTAAACAGCTATTTAATGTTTGGGTTTTCCTCATCACTCATTCTGTGGATCC